TACTATATACTATATATATATATATATATATATATATATATATATATATATATATATCTTATCCCATAAAAATACTTCTTAGTAATTTATATAAGATATATTTAATATAGTAGCTGAAATCATAAAAAGTTATTTCGATTTTTTAGTTATACATTATTTAGGTTTATGTTATGTGATAGACTACATGTACACTACTCATGTGCAAGATGCTTTTAGCTTTGGAGCTCGAAAAGGTTATATTATAATATAAGATATATTATAATATATATTATACCATATAAAATATAAGAGGTTGTTTTGATGTCCAAATATATTCAAATTGATCTTCTCCACATCAAGATGCATGGACATGAGAAAAAAATGGGTTTCAAGTTTTGAAAATAGTGCATCTTATAACACATTTTAGGATCGTCAATTTTCAACATTTTCAAAGTGTTTATAGATCTACTCGATATATGGTATTTTTAAAGCTTTAAATTTTACCATTAAACATGAAAATGTATTTTAAGGCTATCATAAAGATTTTCAATATTAAAACCATATTTCTCGATACTATTTGAAGTAATTTCATTGTTTAGAGCCTCGGTCCAATAAAATATATTATGTATATTTTATAAGAGTAATGATCCTATGAGACCCTCCCACACCCATGTGTGTAGGACCCCAAAGGATCACCATTAAATTTGGTACAGATCTCTAAAAAAATCAAGTCTCATACTGATAACTTTTCTAGCGATCAATACCAAATTTAATGATGATCATTTGGGGTCTTACACACATAGATGTGGGAGGGTCTCACAAGGTTATTTCCCATTTTATAATAAGGAAAAGCTTATATACGGTTGCAACCTTAAAATGCAGAATTATAGATGCACCTCAAAAATCCATTGGAAAAGTTTGTTTTAATGTTGAAAAACCTTGTAATTGATCATCTCGACAACAAGATGTATGAATATGAAAAAAGAAAAAGATTTTTAGTCTTAGAATAGTCCATTTTGCAGCATATTATTTGGACCGTCCATTTTCAAAAATTTCATATATTTATAGATCTACTTGATTTTAACCATTCTTGAAGTTTAAAATTTTATAATTAGATATGAAAATAGATTTTGGGACAATCCTAAGAATGCTTTACAACAAAATTACATATTGCGATAAAATTTGAAAGGTGCGTCTTAATTGGATTGTTTAAGATTGCAACCTTATAGAAGCCATACCCTTTGTAATATTTATATTATAATGGCTGAGGCTCTCTCACTTTGTTATATAAACATGTACCGTTGTATAAATCCATATACATCTCTATGATATGTGTATATCAACATGCACCTCTCTCTCTCTCTCGCCTGAGCTATAACGCATCAAGCACTGGTTGTAGCATTTATCAACGAGCTTCCATGTCTATATGGCCCAACTAGATAATCTCTACGAGAGATTATTTCTATTTTTAGAGAGAGAAATTATTAAAAAAATCAGAGATATAAATTATCTCAAAGTTTTTATAAAGAGAAATTATTTGATTTGAAATTTTAGAGAGAAAAAATAACACAAGGTTTTAGAGAGAGAAACTATATCGAAATTTAGAGAGAGAAGTATCAAAAAAAAGATTTAGAGTGACACTATCTAAAAAATTTTAGAGAGTGAAACTATTTTACGTTTTAAGTTTTAGAGAGAGAAAGTACTTGAAAAAAATTTAGAGAGAGAAACTATCACAATTATCTCAATTTTTAAGTTTCATGAAATAAATTACTTGAAAATTGTTAGAGAAAGACTATATCAATTTTTAAATTTAAAGAGAGAGTACTTAATTTTTTTTAGAGAAACTATCTCAAAAATTTTAAAAAGAGAAACTCTTCCAAAATTTAAGTTTTAGAGAGAAAATATCTTAAAATTTTAGAGAGAGGGAAAAACTATATCAAATTGTAGAATGAGAAATTACCTAAAAAAATTTAGAGAGAAATTACCTCGAAAATTTTAGAGAAAGAAACTATCGCATATTTTAAGTTTTAGAGAGAAAAGTATATCAAATTTCAAAGAGAGATACTACCTAAATTTTTTTAAAGAGATAAACTATCTCGAGAATTTCAGAGAGGAAACTATCTAAAATTTCAAGTTTTAGAGAGAAAATATCTTAAAATTTTAGAGAGAGAAAGTACATCAAACTTTAAAGCTATAAATTACTTGAAATTTTTTAGAGAGAGTGTGTCTCAAATTGAAAGTTTTAGATATAGAAAGTTTCTAGAAAGTTTCTAAAAAGTTTAGAGAAAAACTAAATCAAATTTTAGAGACATAAACTACCTGAAATTTTGTATAGAGAGAAATTATGTCAAAATGTTAGATAGAGAAATTATCTCAAATTTAAAGTTTTATAGAGAAACGTATCTTAAAATTTTATAGAAAGAAACTACATCAACTTTTAAAGAGAGAAATTGCTTGAAATTTTTTTGCGAGAGAAACTATCTCAAATTTCAAATTTTAGAGAGACTATTTTAAAATTTCAGAGAGAAATAACTAAAAAAATTTTAGAGAGAAAATGTCCAAAAAATGTTTTAAAAAATAAATTTTCTCAAAATTTCAAATTTTAGAGAGAGAAAGCATCTCAAAATTTTAGAGAGAAACTATATCAAATCTAAAAGAAAGAGGGAAACT